GTGCAGAAAGCCATAGTAATTGTGAGATTCGACAACTCGTTTATGTACTTTTTCCATGAAAGTAATAGATACAGTTTAAAACAAACAAAATATTTATTAGATTTTTTAAAAATAATTTATAAAATTCAAATTGTCGGTGGACTTATTAGAATAAAGTAAATAGAATTGTCGTTGATTTTGTCCTTAATGCATTAGAATACAAGACATAGCATGTGATGTGCATAAGTTCCTATTATTATTGCATGCCTTATATATCAAATAAAAATAAGAATGATAAATATCATAATAAATAGAACAAAATCATAATGATATTATTTGGAGGTTTTACTATTTCAATCTTGTTTAGCACTTGGTTATTGTTGTTTAATTCAATTATTAATTTTTTTTTTCTGAAACGCATTCAAAACATGTCTAGACAAATTATTACCGTGAATGTTCGATACTAGTATTTTTATTTATAATTCTTTTGATATTTTTTCTTATCGGTCCGAAAAACTATATGCATACGTGGTATGACTGTCCACCCAAATAAAGATAGCTCACAGCTCGAACCATTCAAGTCATGACACCTTAGGCGTCGAATGAATCTGTCTATTCAAGTGTTTAAGGTATTGTGTTTTAATGGTTTAGCATCCGAGATACTATGATTTTAGTGAACACTCCTATCTCATGTGAATATAGATGCCCCAAAAAAGTTTTTCTCGCATCACTCAGTAGAAAAGTTATAATACGAAATGGTACAAAAAACCCATATATATAGTTATCGAGTTACTTGAAAATTAGAGACAAGAAGACTGAAACCATCTGGTTTTTAAATAATTTTATCGATTTGTTTTGGTAAAATATAAAAGAAAAGGAAATTAAAAAAAAATTAAATATTTAATCCATTTAATTAATTATTTAATGCAGTATTATTAAATACACAATCTATGAAGTCAACAAAGCTGACGTTGATACGTTGCCAAATTGTTGGTGTAAAGTATGATTCCGTGCTTTAAATTTTAACGACAAGGATATGACTGGCATTTTGAATTTATTTTGATTCCTAATGTTGTCTCCACTCTACCTAATATTTAATTCTTTATTAAGAAAATTAAAGTTAGGTTCCCAAATTTTGTAAACTATTCGACTTGGGTTCGTAATATCTCGATTCTATAAACTATTATAAGTATCTAAAATTTTAATGAAATCATTGAGTTTCTACGTTGATCGTAGAAAAATACTAGATTGATCCAAGTCGTAAACCAAAAAGAAATCGAGAAGATAAAATTCATTGGTTTTAGAAGGGTTGAGGAACCCCTAGGTGATGATGGTCTACTTGGGGATGGGGTGAAGTGCGGCGGGAGTTTGATGTGATTGTGTATTAATTTTTTCCATTTCCTTCTCTTTCTGTTTCTTTACGACCCAAATGGCCTAATGTAAAAGGCATGTGCCACTTTAACGATAAAATAGACTATTTCTATACAGTAAGAACTCACATGCATCAAAATTGAAAGTTCGAGAACTCATGCAGTCAAATGATTTTCTTCAAATTGTGTTGATTAAGGACGTGTTCGGTAGAGATTAAAATCGGATTAAAATTGAAAAATTAGCCCTTATTGTTGACTTTTATTAGGCGAGTAGGACCCAATAACAGCTATATTTTCAATTTTAATTGAATTTTGAACTGTACCAAACAAGCTCTAAAAATGCTCATTATAATAATAAGGGTCCGTTTGGTACATCTGTGTGAATAAAGCTTTCGTCAATATTACTTGAACCTTGCTACTTGTACAAAAGAATTTGTACAAAAATGTTGACAAACACTCACATGATGGCCGGCCCCACATGAATAAAAAATTGAAAATAAAAAGTGGGCCCCCTCACATGTGAGGGTTTGTCAACATTTTTGTACAAATTCTTTGTACAAGTAGCAAGGTCAATGACATTTGGTGTAATTTCCTCATGAGGGATATAATTATTTGGAGGTTTTACTATTTCAATCTTGTTTAGCAATTGGTTATTGTTGTTTAATTCAATTATTAATTTTTTTTTTCTGAAACGCATTCAAAACATGTCTAGACAAATTATTACCGTGAATGTTCGATACTAGTATTTTTATTTATAGTTCTTTTGATATTTTTTTCTTATCGGTCCGAAAAACTATATGCATACGTGGTATGACTGTCCACCCAAATAAAGATAGCTCACAGCTCGAACCATTCAAGTCATGACACCTTAAGCGTCGAATGAATCTGTCTATTCAAGCGTTTAAGGTATTGTGTTTTAATGGTTTAGCATCCGAGATACTATGATTTTAGTGAACACTCCTATCTCATGTGAATATAGATGCCCCAAAAATGTTTTTCTCGCATCACTCGTAGAAAAGTTATAATACGAAATGGTACAAAAAACCCATATACATAGTTATCGAGTTACTTGAAAATTAGAGACAACAAGACTGAAACCATCTGCTTTTTAATTTTATCGATTTGTTTGGTAAAATATAAAAGAAAAGGAAATTAAAAAAAAATTAAATATTTAATCCATTTAATTAATTATTTAATTCAGTATTATTAAATACACAATCTACAAAGTCATCAAAGCTGACGTTGATACGTTGCCAAATTGTTGGTGTAAAGTATGATTCCGTGCTTTAAATTTTAACGACAAGGATATGACTGGCATTTTGAATTTATTTTGATTCCTAATGTTGTCTCTACTCTACCTAATGTTTAATTCTTTATTAAGAAAATTAAAGTTAGGTTCCCAAATTTTATAAACTATTCGACTTGGGTTCGTAATATCTCGATTCTATAAACTATTATAAGTATCTAAAATTTTAATGAAATCATTGAGTTTCTACGTCGATCCTAATTAATTTCGAGTCTGACATCGGGTAATGTATCAAAAATACTAGATTGATCCAAGTCGTGAACCAAAAAGAAATCGAGAAAATAAAATTCATCGGTTTTAGAAGGGTTGAGGAACCCCTAGGTGATGATGGTCTACTTGGGGATGGGGTGAAGTGCGGGGGGGAGTTAGATGTGATTGTGTATTAATTTTTTCCATTTCCTTCTCTTTCTGTTTCTTTAATGCTAAATGGCCTAATGTAAAAGACGTGCCACTTTAACGATAAGATAGACTATTTCTATACAGTAAGAACTCACATGCATCAAAATTGGAAGTTCGAGAACTCATGCAGTCAAATGATTTTCTTCAAATAAGGGTCCGTTTGGTACATCTATGTGAATAAAGCTTTCGTCAATATTACTTATAGTAGAAGAGCTTTTTTTCAAAAAGAGTGGTCATCATGAAAAAAGTTGGCTGTAATTTTGAAAATTGATGTCAACATTAAATTGACTGTTTAGCAGCCTAATAGTAAAACTGCTTATCCACTAAACCTTAATTGTTTTCTATATATCTAATGATTGTTTCTTTCATAAATAATCTTTATTTGAATATATTATATTTATAAATACTCTTTATTTGAATATATATATATTATATAATACAATATCTTTTAAAAAATATTTTAATCAATTATCATGCCACAATTATTTAATATATATTCGTATATTTTTTTAAAAAATGATTAAATTATACAAAATTTATGTTATATATTTTAACACACTAGCACAGGACATATTTTTCACCTCGTATATAAAAAATGAAAAATAACAATATTAAAATAAAAATTAAGATAAAAATATGTCATAAACAATTTTAAAAATTATTTAAATGATACAAAATATTTTAACACCATAGACCTCCTCTTTTACTAAAAGTTCAAAGTACCCTCTTTTAACATTTTAAAATTCTTACCCTATATTTAATAAAGCAAATTATAGCACCCCCTTTGTTGTCTCCAATCACTTCTCTCTTCTCTCTTTCAAATCTAGCACTTTCACTTCGTGCTGACGAATTTGATAGTGTAATGAAGGATTTTCATATATGTTTCATATCTAAATCGATTTATATCTATAATTTAAAAATTAAAGCTCTTGCCATCACCTTTTCTCCGACATCAATGGCGATGATGACCAGCAACTCCTTTGATACCATAAATTGCGATCAGCAAGCACAACAAACCAGATCTTCAAATGCTTCACTAATCAGATCTTCTCCATTCAGATTCTCGATATTTGCCTAAAGAGTACAAATGAGAAATTATTGCAATGTCATTGTTTTAACTTGAAATGTTTTGATGAAATTCTATCAAAAGCAACAAGAAATCTTAATAATTTATTGAGTCCTTGAATTGTAGTTGATGTTAATCCCATATTTATAATCATTTCTGGTCATACATATTTTTTATCTATAAATTTTTTGGAATTCAGAAAATCATTTACTTCTTATTGTTGTAAGTATAACTCTCCAACCATTGACCCAAAAAAAGAAAAAAAGAAGGGAAAATCACACTAAAAAACAAACTTCTGATTTCTTCCCTCTTTGCAATCATACAATGTATACAATACAAAAAGTAAAAAAAGAAAATTATTCGATTGGTTGGATGACAGCTAAAGCAAATACATTTATCTGCATTTCTCTCACAATTTCTCGCCCACCAAAGAAATTTCCTTCGGGCACGATTTTCTCCTTTTCTAGATTTCTGTTCTCTCTAAATTTTCTCCAGCCAAAACCCTTTCCATTTTTTTCGTTCAGTGTTTTTTTCCTTTATTTCAGTTTTCGTTGCTTGATTCTTGAATGAGCTTAAAAGGATAAGATTTTCTGTATTGGGCAAAAGGCTGAGCTGATTTTTTTTATTATTGTTTGGGGTAAAGATCATCGTTATTGGGCAAGTTGGTCTGTGAGAATTCCATGAATTCGCCATTAAATTATCAATTTTTGAACCAGAAGATTACATTTTTACTTTTCGACAAATGGGTCTCGTATAAATCCAGCCATTTCTCGTAGAAATCCAGCCATTTAAGATTTTGTCTACCGTGTCTGTGAGAAATTAGCTAAAGATAAGAAAACCCGGCAAAAAAATAGCGTCGTCGGTTCTAATAGAGACTACAATGCCCGATACGGAGTCGTGTTGTGAGAACTCACGTCGTTTTGGAGATCTGAGAGGGGTTCAATGGCGTATAGATTTGGGGATTTTACCTTCTTCTCCTTCTGCATCTATCGATGATCTTCGCTGTGTCACTGCCAATTTTCGTAGAAGGTAAATATTTCTAACTCATAGTTATTTCAGGCAAATATCTTCGTCGATTTTGTATTTACTTTTGTTGTCAAGATTGGAATTTTCCTAAATTCACTCAAGTTGTCTTTTTTATGTGTTTGATCAGAGTTTTTGTGAAGTTTCTCGTTTGCTATTTTACAGCAATTGCAATTCAACTACTGATGGTTCTTTGAGGTTTTTTTTTTCGTATTTTTTATCTTTTAGGTATCATGCACTATTGGTTAGGGAAGTTTTTTTAGCGTTTTATTTTTGGGTTTTTTTTGACCAATAAATGGTTTTTCTTTTTCGACTATCTGATTGTCGATAGTTATTTTATTCCATGGCTGAATACATTTACAGCTTTTGCCTTTTTCGATAAGTTTTTATGATCCCGGTGCTTGAATCAACAATATAATTCTTTTGTTCATTAGATCATCGTGGTGCAATTTAAATTAAATAATAGGATCTAAATTGATTTGCGTTTGGCTATTGATTGTTGATTCAGTGATAATGATTAATTGAAACGTAAAGTAGCGGCAAATGTAATGGTCCGTCAATTAGCTTATGGACAATGCTTCTCTTGATTTCAGTGGAATAGTTATAACACGAATTTGGATTTCAATAACGCCGTAGGAGCATTATGCAATGAATATTCAATGTTATGGTAGTTTTATGTAAATAACATTTTTGCTGAATATAGTTCACGATTTTCTGTAGATATGCTGCTTTGAGGAGGCAGCTTCTAGTTGATCCACAAATTTCGAAGGATAGAAGTAATTCTCCTGATCTGGTCTTGGACAACCCGCTGTCACAAAACCCAGGTAATATTTCTATATTATGCCTGAGATATGCTTCACTACATGACTTCGTTTTCACTTTATAGCATTATAAATTCACTCATCTTCGAACATTTTCTGTAGTTGCTTTTGAGTATTTGAGTTTCTACGGTCGTAAACAACCTTTAGCGTTTATTGAGCCAACAAACTAGCTTCGATTTCAGTTATCCATTCTGCCTTTATTTATCATACAGATAGCATGTGGGGTCGCTTCTTCAGGAAAGCTGAACTGGAGAGAATGGTTGACCAAGATTTGACGCGTCTATATCCTGAACGAGGTAGCTATTTCCAGACAGCTAGATGCCTAGGCATGTTAAGACGAATTTTATTACTTTGGTGCATTAGACATCAACAGTATGGATACAGACAAGGTAGGTTAATTTGTATTCTATTTCTGATGCTTCTACTTACATCAGTTATATTGCCTAGTTATCCTTCAAACATAAGCTTCAAGTTGGTTTCATTAGGGCAAGGGGCAACCCTTTGACTTTCTAAAACTGAAGTTTGAAATTATTTCCATATACACTGTTGGCACGAATCTATTTGCAGGGAGCTTATTGATCTCTTATTTAACATTGCTGTATGAACTACTATATCTCCGCATCAACATATTTACACCACATCATACCATATACCAGATGTAATGTATTCTGAAAATATCATGTTTTGTCTAGTTATTATCACAGCCAAATTGATTTTTTTTAAATCCTCTTTTGCTCTAAAGTAAAGCATAAGGCTTAAGATTCTTTAATACCTTCCCAAAAAATTTAAAACATGGCTAAATTCTCGTTCTTTGTACTAATTGATTCCTCCGTGCTTTCATTCACAGGGATGCACGAGCTATTGGCACCATTGTTGTATGTTCTTAATGTTGATATGGAGCGTCTTTCAGAAGTGAGGAAAGCTTATGAAGATCACTTCACTGAAAATTTTGATGGCTTCTCTTTTCATGAAAATGACTTGACATATAAGTTTGATTTTAGGAAATTCTCAGAATATTCACAAGACGGTACTGGAAAAGAAAAAGGTTCTGTGAAGGCTAGCAGTCTTAGTGAACTTGGTTCCATGACGCAAACCATTGCTTTGCTAAGTGATGCCTATGGGGCAGAAGGAGAACTTGGCATTGTTGTATCTGAGAAGTTTATGGAACATGATGCTTATTCTATGTTTGATGCTTTGATGAGTGGGGCTGGTGGAGCTGTTGCCATGGCTGATTTTTTCTCTACTCCGTTCGGGAGTCCCCATAACGTGTTCCCTCCTGTAATTGAAGCTTCTTCCGCACTCTATCATTTGCTTTCCGTTGTTGATTTGCCTCTTCATAATCATCTTGTTGAACTAGGAGTTGAGCCCCAGTATTTTGCACTTCGCTGGTTAAGGGTCCTATTTGGTCGTGAATTTTCACTTGAAGATCTTTTGATGATCTGGGATGAAATTTTCTCTCGTGAAAATACCAAGTTTAAGAAACCAGCTGATAATGATGCAGAGTCTGACTTTAGAGTCCTCGATTCGCCTAGGGGTGCATTCATTTCCGCTATTGCAGTTTCAATGATACTTCATTTACGGTCTTCTTTGCTTGCATCAGAGAATGCTACCACCTGTCTTCAGAGATTGTTGAATTTTCCGGACGATTTAAATATTGCTAAGCTGACAGAAAAGGCAAAATCTTTGCAGATTCTGGCAATAGATGCTAATAATTCAACTTCCCTGCCATATCATCAAGGGTTGCATGACGAGAGTAAATTAGGGATTACTAAGGCTCATAGCCTTTCTTTAGATTCAACTTCTCCTAGAACTCCACTGAATATAGTTCCCGAGAGCTACTGGGAAGAGAAGTGGAGAGTTTTTCACAAGGAAGAAGAAAACAAGCAAAATGATGTCAAAAAACAAGTTCCAAACCGCAGAAAGGGTTGGTCGGAGAAAGTAAGATTGCGCCTGTCTAGAACTGAATCTGACCCATCCCCATCTAAGGTTTATGAAAGAAAAAAAGTCCCCAAGCCATCTGTTAGGAGAAATTTGCTAGAAGATCTCGTACGGCAGCTTGGATTGGATGAAGATGCAGATATAATACAGTGCGATGAAGATAATGACCATGAGGATCCAGTTGAGGTCAATAGACAAGATGTCACCCACGAGAGTGAAAGTGCTGAGAGCGAAGAGAACTCTTTCAATTTATCAGATTCACCAAGTCCAATTCATGGAATTAATGATCACGAGAACGAATCAGTAAGTAGCAGCGTTGGTTCAAACATATGCATTGATGAAAATGACGCTGAATCTAGTAATGCTGAGTCGCACAGGACTAACCCAGAATGCTCCCCTCTTCCTGTCTCAAATTCCCCGGATGTTATTGCTCTAAAATGTGGACAAAATGATGGTTCTGTTAGAAAATCAGCAACTGACATGAAGGAACGAAAACTTCTATCTGGTACACTTCAATGGTTATGGAAGTTCGGGCGGAATAAGAGTGAGGAAACATCTGAGGGAGCTGCTGCTTCTGAAGACGAAAAAGCTTTGAAGGGTCGAAGTGGTCAGAACAATGTAGTTGACTCTGGGTGTGATAGCTCTTCTGGAATCACCAGTGAAGAAACAGTAGATCGTAATTTGATGGTTAGCTTTAGGAATCTTGGACAAACCATGCTTGAGAACATCCAGGTACTAATCTCACATAACACTCTTCCGCTAATTACGAATTAATCGGCAATGGCTTTAACTGTCACTAAGACATTCTTTACTTGCCTAACAGCGATCTCTATATCTGAAGTGTCGGTGCATTAATATAAAATTATAAACTAATCCAATTCTTTGTTATTCAAAGCTTTTACATCTCTTATAATACAGGGTTGACTTTGAAGCCATGCAGATGTTTGGCTACAAGCTTAATTATACACATCATTCACGATGAAATTTGTTCCCGAAAAGACTCAAAAAGTGGTGTGAATGTATTCTTGAAGTTGTGTATATGAAACTGTAAAGGATATAAATTTTGTCTAGGAAGCAACCTAATGTGTAGTTTTGCACATATGACAATGACTTCAAAAGATAAAGTTAAATCATTATAGATCAAATTAAGACATCATTTTAGATGTTGTGGCATATCAAAGGTACTTGTTTACTAGTATGAGTTTCAATTCCTTTGATACTTTAACATGATTTAGATGTACTGCTCTTTAATCTCATATTGTTCATATCAGATGTTCCTTGAGCTGTTGAGCATCGTTACCTTTCGTTTGCCTCGCAGGTGATCGAGTCTGTTTTCCAGCAGGATCCTGGTCAAGTGGGGCCCTTGGAGAACATGTTGGAAAATAGTCTCATTGGCAAAGGACAAGTTACAGCCATGACAGCTCTCAAAGAGCTTAGAAATATCAGCAATCTTCTATCGGAGATGTGAAGTATATACGTATATACATTTTGTAATTGTTTCTATCTGGAGTGGCAGAATAAACGGTCCTTCAGCTTCTTCTATTCTTTCCTATTAATTCAAATTTTGATTATGTATTGTAGACAGTATTGTAAATACAAATAATGTAATTGAATACATAATGCAAGCTATCGCAGATTATCTGGATTGACTGGAAGCACCATATATATCTTTCCTCTTTCGGTTCTAGTACAATTTATATATGGATATGAGACGCTGCAAAGCATTTTCAAACTCGATTTTATGGTCAAATTTACGAATGACCAAGTGAAGAACGTATCAAGAGATGTACATATTCAAGTTACCAAAGGGCTATTTTGTCCAGCTTCTCACAAAGAATCAAAAAATATAAATGAATAAATTGAAAAATAAAATGACCTCTAAAGTAATGTATGGTTTCCCTGTGAAGGCATTGAACTTGGTGAATAGATGAACGGATCTCCAAATGGGTTTGAGCATACCGTTTGTGGTATTTGTTGCTGAGAATATTGAGCTGAATTTTGATAGGGTACTAACATCATCGTATTTTGCTGCTGCTGCTGTTGCTGAGGCATCATCGTATGTTCTTGTTGGGACATCATTGCCATTTGCACATTTATTGGAGGTGCAACGCTGTTTGACATGGCAAAAGGGTCGTGTTGCTCGAATGGATTTGGTGCTGTCATTTCGTATCCGTATCCTGCACTATAACCTGCATTCTGCAGCTGTATTTGTCTCCGTGAAGCATGATCTTCGTACAAGCTGTCAAGTAATAGCTTATCGAACCCGCCAGCCTAACACAAATGTCATCTTGGTGAAAATGTATAGTTATACAAATTGTAGCGTAATGTACGTATATAAAGACATAAAAGAACCGACCAATTTGGTTTCGGCTGCTTGGCTGGTGTGGTTGCTTGGAATGGTAACTAGAGCCAACTCCCATCCTGAAGTTTTTCCAATTTCACTCAATGCATTACTAGGTAAAGGTGGGTTATTGCCTGCAAAAATATTTCATGTAATATCAGCAAGTTGTATGATCATGTATTGACAGTATATTTGTTGATATCGTTGTTCTTCAACATCATAAAACAATAGTTGATGATAACTGATTCCTCTATTTATAAACGAACTTTCATATAAGCATGTTTAGGATAGCTTCTGCTTCTATTTTTTGTATAAGAGTTTCCTGAGGAAGTTACGTTGAGTTAACTCTCTCTAAAAGCTCTTTAAACCGAGCAAAGTGCTTACAGAAAATTATTCAAATAGACTCAAAAGTAGCTTCTAAATCTCGAAAACAGCTTTTGGCTTTTCAAGCCCTTCCAATCGGTCACTAAGTATTGGAGTCAGGTGGACATGTCCATGTACAGAAACAGTCAGTTCTATCATGAAGAATACAACACACCTGGTTGAATAATGGAAAGAGCTAGTGCATTGTTTTCCTCTAATTCTACAGCTTTTGGATTTACTTCATTCAAGCCCTGCAGAGGATTTGCGCAGAACATAAGAAATTTAGATATATTATAATAAATCCTCGAGATAGAGGAAAGAAAACAGTAGAAAGATAGAACTTACCAGCAGATCAACAGGCTCGTCCGCGGATATTAATGGAGGAATTTCATCTTCATTCTTAGTTTGAGGTTCCTCTGGTTCGTCAACCTGTTCTTCTTTATTCTCAACTTCTTCAACTTGTTTTTCTTCTTCTTTAGGGGCTCGTTCTTCAGGTTTTTGAGGTTCCTCTTCTGTTTCTCGATACTCCTATAACAGCAGTGGCAAAATCCAAACCAATTCTATTACAGTCATTGCTCATAATATCCATCATATCAGCGAAAATGTAAATAGTCGAGAAATGCAAGTTATATGGCAGCCTATGCCCACAACAAAACTTATTCTTGAATAGTTGCCTTTGACTTGATGTAACCTAACGACACAAGGTTGAATGAAGAACTCGTTGAGGCAAATAAACCGAAGATTTTTATCAGATCATAAACTAGAACTATACACCAGACATAGACATGCGGTCGAAAATGATAAAGCCAGAAATACAAAAACTAAAAACATTGTACTTTTCGAAAAAAAGAGACTAAAACATCACGTAGTAAAGGGATTTTTCTAACCAGTCTCTTCTTCGACATAGAACCTGTCTGCGGAGCTTCCTTTATATATTCCTCCATAGTTGAAAGGAAAGAGGGAGGAGGCTGTTTATTGAAGAAAAATATACTCTTAAAGGTTTCTATTGACTCAAAATAGATATTCTTTTCTTCTGAATCTGGGAAAATATATAACCTGTCTCAAGATCGGAAACTGAAATGTCCGAGCGAGATCCAAAGTTCTGCAGAAGCTATAAAATTCAGCTAGATGTTCAGCCTACACAAACAAGAGATAAATAGGAAAACAACATAAAAAACTCAGCCCTATATAGCAGTTCGTCGACAGTAATAAAAGATCCTAAAGTGAAGAGGACATATAGACCTGTTGTCCAGCTCTTTTATAAATGTCAAGAGCTTTGACTGCATCATATTTTGTCATATCGAAAAACTGCAGAAAAAATGAAGTTATTTATAGATAAAGATAGTTTTTCTATGCAAAGATGGTAGTCGGAGCGTCATACAGCATCATACCATATCGACTAGATTAATGATCCCGTCATTGATAGCACAATATATTTTGAAGCTCTCTTTCAACGTCTGGATGATCAACAATAGCACTCATATTTTAGCATAGTAAGTTCAACAGATCATACGTTTTCACTACCCAAAACAACGAATTTTGTGCATACCAGGGCCAAGGCATACTGAATGAGATAGTTGTGGCAGGCTGCTCCTTCTGGCTGCAAAAATTCTGACAGATCAGATAGCCTTACTCACTGAAAAAATAAGAATTACTGATCATACAAATAAAAAATCGGAAGCCAATTAAGGTACAATCTTCGGCACCTACATAACCTGTTGAACTGCTTGCAGCCTACTTATAAAGTACACTTATCCCTAAACCCCAGATCAACTTAGTATTCCCAATATATGACTGATCTATCGGGGGCATTTTCATGCGCAAGAAAGGTGTGAGGATAGTAAAAATTTGCAATGGTAAATGGACGTATCTCTCACATTGAAGGTGAACTGCTGTAAATCTGTGTACAGTGTACCCATTTAAGAATTGGAGGTTAATCCATTACATAAACAAGTTGGTCTAGGGAGCGTTCGAACATTACCTGACAACCAAGTAGGCGGTATAGGAGCTGCTGCAATGCAGGTAGCTGCACCAATAGTTCTTCAGCATTCAAAAGACGTGTCTTACTATACACCTGGTGCAAGAAAAGTTAATGAAATTTATGCTCAAATTATTTGAAACAATTGAATTGGAAATGAGAATGTAGTATATGATGCAAGAATACGACACCTTAGATATTCCAGGAACTGATTTTGTCGGTTTTTCTGACTCTATATCGTATTTTAAGGTCCTAAAACACTCGAGTCTTTCCTCCAGAAAGAGTGCATATGTTCGGACCCAAGCAGAGCAATCCCATGCTGCATCAGGACTACCAAAATGTTAGATGAAACTGCTTAATTTTCAAGTTTGAGAATAATCTTGAATCCTCTTTTATGTAAACAAAATAAGTTTACCTAGAGGGCTCGAATCATCCTTAAAATTTGATATTTGAAATAAATGTCCTCTGTGTGAGTAGTGGAGCAATTCCTCTCTAAAGGTAGGATCTCCCTCTCGTAATGCCCTATGAATGACTATCAAAGCCTTTATCGCAACCTATAATACGATCATTTATTAGCACACATCGAAGGCTGAACTGTAGTCTTTTATGAACAGTTGAATGCTCCTTTAGTAACATTTCTTTGCTTAAATTAAGATTTTACAACGTTCATAGTCACATGTTGAAAAATTAATGGTTTTTTTCTCAAGTTTATGAGATAATTATGAGTAGATCCTATGCTTAAATAAAGATTTTCATAAGTTGATTTATCATCTATTGGACATTGCGCCTATCTTAAATTTTCCTGTCGTTAAAAATAACATATATATAATATATGTAACGGGAAGAGAAGCTTTACAATCCAATTGCGTGTTTTTGCCAATCTTCTTGAAAGCGCATGGACACAATAGGCAACGTCAGCTCTGGGTCTTGTCAAAGATGTAGCGGAAAAGATTTCTGAGACAAAAATTGGGACTAGAATTTCAAAACAAGTGAAATATACGCCTCGAAATTCAATTGATTCTTAATAAGCATGGCCTATTCTAATATATATATGATCATACACAAATCACATTGATGCACTCACTTCTAACTTGGTGTTCCTTTGGGGGGCATTCAACATGGTTGGTGGCCTTAACAATGGCAATATCCAAATCCTAGCAACAAAACCAAACACATTTATCGGTCGAACGAAAATGTATCTATACACATTAACGTAAATTCAAGGCAGGGATTGAGCATACCTTGAATTCGCTATTGACCTTGGCAAGGCTAACAGTGGTGGAATCTTTAAGAGCCCCATAGGCTTTTCTAAAGCTTTCCATGTATAAAAATGGTTATATACAGATGTAATGGCCAATCAAATCTAATTCTGATGAACGAAACAAGAAGAGAAGAGATCCTAGAGAGAGAAGAAAGGTTTGAAATGTTCTTCCTCAAGATTCTCTCTCTCTAGTTTTCTGTATAATACCTTTTGAAGATGTGAGAAAGATATGGGACAGTTGTATAATGACAATTTTGGTAGTCGTTGAGGTTAGTTTTATAAAGAACCATGCTACAGTGCCCGCGTGGTTGACCACAGGGATGACCGCACACACACTGGAGGGGGTCGGATTATTTTATTCGGGGGTGGAACCCGTGCCGAGGCTGTGAGTGCTCGGTCATCCCCGCGGTCACCGGTGCGGGTCGTTTAGCATTATTCTTCTATAAATCATTTGAAAATTCAATTTGATCAGAAAAGAAGTTGGCCTTTTGTTTTCTGTCATTGAAGTTACAATCTGCCCTTGATAATGAGGGCTTGTCTGAAGGACATTTGTGGCTTAATTATCATATGATAAAAATAAATAAGAATAATGTTATTAATAGTGAGGAGTGAGGACTACAGGTAATCGTCTTACATAAAATACATGTGCCAGTTTGTTATCTGACGCATTAACAAACTGTCACAGGTATACCACGTAGGCGACTATCGGTAGTTTTCAAGTATTGCTCAATAAATAAACTCCTTTTTTATTTATATAAAAATCAGGTTTTTGGTAGATTTTGATAAAAGTTAATGAAATGCGTTGTTAAAAAATCGTGAGTTCATGAAATATGGGTTAAAATTTAATTTTTGACTTTAATTTAGATTTTAACCAACTTTTTAGTTGAACCAAACATGAACAAAATGAGATACAAATAGTCCATAAAATCAAGTAAAAAGTGACATTGTAGATAAGAAAGGCAAAAACGAAACTTTGAACACCAAAGAACTATCGAGGACTAAATATCAATAAAAAGAAGAGGAAATTACACCCATCCCTGTTATTAGATATCAATTTTCATAATTCCTGATTTAAGTTTGATATTTCACTAATCAGGATTTAAAGGAATTAAAAAAAAAAATTTATTTTCATTTAAAAATCTATTTAAAATAAATTCATTTAAAGGTTTTAAGGAATTAAAAAAATATATATTTTCATTTTTAAATCTATTTACAATAAATTCATTTATATAACTCTCCCTACCCTAACTACCCCATACCCTAAATCAATTAATCCCTCAACCTCTCCACTCAATTCCGCCGCCCGTCTCTGCACCACGCCACCGACGCGGTCGTCATTCCCGTTGGATCTTCTTCCTCTTCTATCATCTCCCTCTCATCTCCGCTCCAGTATATTTACTCAAAAGCCGTCGCTGCTGCAACGACCTCCCACGATTCTTCCCATCGCAACGGCCACTCCCTCTTTCGTCTTCACCCTCCCTCTCGTACTGGACTCCACCGCCGACACTACAGTCCTTTTCTCTGTCGGTTTTTTATTTTTTATTTTGTGAGTGGTGCAGATCTGTTTTGGTGGAAGTGTGTATACGTTGATGCGATGGCGGGGTATGGTGGGGATGTGGTGTGTCTTCAGATCTGCTGCTGTGTTGCTTTTTTTTTTTACTGGTGAAGTGGAGTTGGGCGGTGTTGGGTGGTGTTGCTGTATTTGTGGTTGCGGTGTGAAGGTTGTGTGTGCGTGCGTCTTGCGGCGGTGGTGATTGGGTTTTTGGGCTGTGTTTTCAGTTGTGGATGGGGACTGTGGGTGGTGGTTGTGTTTTGGTAGCTGCGGTATGTTAGATTTGGTGATGGACGGCGCAGAGAAACAAGAAGAGAAGAGATCCTAGGTTTGAAATGTTCTTCCTCAAGATTCTCTCCCTCTCTCTCTCTCTCTCTAGTTTTCTGTATGATACCTTTTGAAGATGTGAGAAAGATATGGGACAGTTGTGTAATGACAATTTTGGTAGTCGTTGAGGTTAGTTTTATAAATCATTTGAAAATTCAATTTGATCAGAAAGGAAGTTGGCCTTTTGTTTTCTGTCAATGAAGTTACAATCTGCCCTTGATAATGAGTGCTTGTCTGAAGGACATTTGTGGCTTAATTATCATATGATAAAAATAAATAAGAATAATGTTATTAATAGTGAGGAGTGAGGACTGCAGGTAGTCGTTCTACATGACATACATGTATTAGTTTGTTATTTGACGCATTAACAAACTGTCACAGGTATGCCACGTAGGCGACTATCGGTAGTTTTCACTATGAATAGTATTGCTCAATAAATATACTCTTTTTTTATTTATATAAAAATCAGATTTTTGGTAGATTTTGATAAAAGTTAATGAAATGCGTTATTAAAAAATTGTGAGTTCATGAAATATGGGTTAAATTTTAATTTTTGACTTTAATTTAGATTTTAACCAACTTTTTAGTTGAACCAAACATGAACAAAATGAGATACAAATAGTCCATAAAATCAAGTGACATCGTAGATAAGAAAGGCAAAAATGAAACTTTGAACACCAATGAACTATCGAGGACTAAATATCAATAAAAAGAAAGCCACTCAACCAAGAGTCAGGGATGGATCCAGGGGACTGACATGGGCTTTAAGCTGTAGGCAGCCAAAACCCACACACTAAAATGTGAAAAGATAAAGAAAATATTAGAGCAAATCATGTTTTAGAATTAATTGTTCAAAATCAGTTATCTATTTGGAAAATGCTAAGGGTACTTCTTTCCTCAAATTAAGAAACAAATAAACTGAAAAATCAGTCCATCTCTATTCAAACAAGGGGTGGGAACAATCCAATTTGGCTCGATTATGAAGGGAACAAAATCGAACCGAGTACTAATGAGAATTTTTAAACTGGAACATTTGGTTCCATATTTAACTATAGAATCGAACCGGAATCGAACCAACTGGTTCTGGTTAGGTCTAATTCTTTATATTAAAAATTTTATAAAAACAAAATATTAAACTACTTGTCAGATTAAAAATAGATAGAATAAAGCTTAAAATCACTTATCATTCTTGTAATCTAATAATATAAAAATTAATTTAATAAGGCAACAAAAAAAATACATTCCAAAACTCAAGATCAATTAATGAGGGCATAAAAAGGATAATTATTAAACAAAATATAAAGCGTAAAATATAGATAAAAAATTATTTTTTGAGAAAATTCATACAATAATATATATTAAAAAATGTATGTAGTATTTAAAAGCTGATTATCTTCAATAATCTTCAAGGAGAAGATCTTGATTCCGTTGATCTAACCACTTTGGTTTCAACGAGAAATTTGAGTTCTTATGAAAGATTGAATTAAAAATACATTTTTTTCCTATTGTGATTGCATTAAAGGGTTAAAACTATGAATTTTTGTAAAATATTTATAAGATTGTTTAGAAATAAATGTTAATTACTTGTTAAGTTTTACTGTAAAAGAAAGAAGAAGAAGTGTATGAAAAGTGAAATTTTGGCTTGAAATAATTTTAGGATTTAATGTTCAAATATCTAGTGCATATTTATGCAATATATCAAGAAGAAGAACAATTAGAAAGAATCGAGTTCACTATTGATTCTTACAGCAGTATCAAGAACCGGATCGGAACCGATTGATTCTCGATGTATGGTCCCAAAATCGATCCATTTAATAAAGGAAACGAAACCAAACTGACCGGTTATATTTGATTCCGATCTGATTCCACCGATTCTGAGAAAAAATGCCCACCCCTAATTCAAACAATTTGTTAAAATATTCCTTTAATTATAGAAAATAATAAATATTCTATCCGTTAAAATCTTCTCATAATAGTAATCAATAAACACCTAATATCTAAACAAAGAAACAACTGTGACATTTTTGTACGTAGCTGTGTCATTTAACAAATCATAGATACTTGTGATCTCTGAGTTTAGTTTTCCTCTAATACGAGTTGAGCTCTTTGTATATTCAAATGCAAAAATTATGTCAAACAGACCCTAAGTTCCTTTATTTATTGTTTAAGTACAAATCTACGTTTTATGAATATTCAAGTTAACTAAATCAATTTTGCTTATGTGTTATATTATATAATTTGAGCTTAAATCCACGTGTGCATACTAAAATGGGTTGTGTTAAATGTACACCAAATTCATTACCTAATGGATTATACCCCCCTCACATGGAGGGGGGTCCACGAATATTTTATTGTGTGTGAGCCCCCCATGTGAGGAGGGTGTAATCTATTATGTAATGAATTGTGTACATTTAGACTAATCCTATTAAAATTTGTGTAAAGTGGAATTTTTCAAAGTTTAATATATAGCACACGATGTACACTAGGAGTATGTCCCCCGGGAAGCAGGGGCGGATTTGCTGTAGTCACAGTAGGGCACGTGACCCACTAACTTTCTGAATTTTTTTAATATTATTTATTAACAAATATCTACACACTAAAGCTGCCCAAACATGAACTTGACTTAATGGCCCAATTCCCACTTCAAGTTTTCAACCCTTCAGCCCAATTGCCACATCAAGTCTTCAGCCCAATTCCCAAATCTCAACTTAATGAATATAGGAGGTTTCATTTAAAATGTTTGGTCAAACCAAATATTTGTTTAAAAAAAATCCAACATCCATATTTTTTAGTTAGAATGCCTTAATATATAAAAAATGGAAAATACAAATTGTAAAGGACTAAAATGTCCTTGTATACAAAAATGATATTATTGCCTTAAATCCCATTTCAATTTCCATTTAACCCTAATTGAATTCTACTTTCCATTTCTTATACAAAAATCAGCTCTACAAGTATGCAACTCCTTTTCATTTTCTTATCACCATTCTTTACGTAATGAAACCATAAGCTCTACATTCTCATTCCTATGAACACTCATTTGGTTGAAATGAGTAATAAAATCTTACAACATTCTTGTTGGGCATTTAGAGAATAAGAGAGGGCATTGTAAATTTTCAATATTTGGGTTCTTTTCTTACTCAAAATTTTTTGAATCATTTCTTCATGTTATTGTATATATA